AGGTGGATTTGGCAGGGTCGATCACGTGGGATTTGGTTTCGGTAGTTGACTCTGCTACCACGTGACCCCTCATCACACCTAAGCTGATAGCGAGTTTTGATTTTAAAGGTTCGGTTCGGATGTGCTTTTTGCTGTGTTTTGCATAAATGCACATTACAGTGTCAGATTTCGTCATTTTTATCAGAATCTCACATAATTATACGTTGCAACTCGGGCATGTGGTGTCATAATAACTCGGTGGTTAGAAATCCCAAGACAGTCACCTTGCTGGGATGGACAAAATGAGCTTGACAAATTTAGAATTTCCCATTTGCGCCCCATCATTCAGTGATAAACCTTTTAGGTTTCACATCCTTTTCGTCTTCCAGATTGCTTAATTTACCTTAGCCTGCTTTACATGACTCGACGTTTTCCGACTCCGGCTGTGAAGAACCCATCATATTCTTCCAAAGAGGATAGACGTGTGCGTATTTCACATGCTGTGATAATCCATACCATGAGAACACAGTAAGTTATGAATCCAAGCTAAATCAAGCAGGATTCAGTGATCACGGATGCGTGAAATACTATGTTATCTTGCTCAACTATCATATTCTTTATGTTACACTTACCAGCGCGCATCAACTTCAAGAATTTTGGTTTCTCGATCTCTTCAGCGATCGTGAGCGATCTGCATATTCGCCAGACGTAGTTGAATGTCAATTCCTGGCTAGGAATTGATTTCTACGGATCAGATGAAGTTTGTGCAACGCTCACATCTAGACAATCGGTCGTTCCAGGTGAAAACTAGATTCCATGCAACTAAACTAATTTTTGTCAAAAAAGCTCGGTTGTGAAATGGAATTCATCCACAGTAATCCAGCCTGACGACTATGCATCGGAATTCCAACTAGCTCAAAATAACCGTGCGGTAGATATTTACTGTAACTGGTCGCACACGACTTATGTTAATATCTGCACCACACAACTGGCTTTTCGGGTATCATCCAGTTATTTGGTTTAGAAAGACTAGGGCAAGTCTTTTGATCATCTTTCCTCAGCTCCGCAAATTAGAAATATTTTTAATTATAGAACAATTGCACCACTATCATGAAAACAATATCTCTTTGAACGATTTTTATTACGGATCCGAACGTGATTGCTTCGCGAAAGATCGACTGACAGACGATTCTTGTTTCTTGTCCACTGTTTTGAAAACGTGTGACAAAACGGATGTAATATCCCTTGGAATTCTCAGAGGTATCTCGCGTTTCTAGTCGCGAGGGATATCACCTGCAGCCGGACTGTTAGATCTGTTTGTCAGCGATCTATTCGCGGGCGATTTGACGCGGCTGCAATCGTGATTGTAAACGTTAACGTACAAGTACAAATAAGCTTCAGGTTTTACAACACCATTTAGGATGCATATTGGCAATTATTCTTTCAGAATGCCTCCATCGAAGCCTATTCATGTTACTTGACTGTGGATCAATCAGTGATCCAGGGAGTAACCTTCCTACCGCTTGCCAAGCGGCCTGAAAACATCATTAAGTTTCCACAGGTAGTTTCAACATGGTTGCAACCAAAGCATTGCAAACGATAGATTCTTTCCTCTTCCGCATACAGTCTTTCATCTCGAATTTGTCCTAACCTCATAGGCTGTTTCAAAGCTGGGCGCGGGGAACATTTAGACACTTTTCAATTGCGGAAAGAATTCGGAGGATGCCTACCTTTCTCATTATAATCGTATTTTTACCAACAGATTCTAACTCCATTTGTATTTGTGGACAGAGCATTGCGCTTTATATAGTGCTACAAATTGCCGGTTGCCATGTCTGTTCAAATGACTCCTTGCTCCTCTAAAGTTTCACGTTTTTTTTGCTCTGCGAGACCTCAAATTGTCAAATGAGCTCTAATGAGGAAACACTTCAATCGGGAAACCTCAGATAGCCAAAAAATAGTGCCTTTTGAACCATAGCAATTTTTTAAGTCATTGCCGCAGAATTAGCGAATGTAATATCAATATTCGGTCACCTGGAACCGCGACGTTATTCTTGTTTGCTCTTTGATGCCCCTAATCCAACCGTATAAATGAATCAACAAGTAAGAATTCTGGTGGTTACTGGACAGGGTGTGTTGTCTTTCAGTTACTCCCAAATGGAAATTACATAAGGCAACTGGCACGTTGTTTAAAGCCAAAAGTACAACGACAGAGTGCATAAAATTCAAACGATGAAAGTGTCACATAGAAGTAAATGGTAAGCCATATAGCGATGAGTGAAAATTAAGAGTACTGTTCCACAGAAGCATATGAGAAATTTGCAGTTGGTTTTGAAAAAGAAATAGGTCAATGAGATGATAAAATATAACGTGTCACCCAAAGTTGCACATGAGTGGAACAGGCAATATTAAAGTAACCTTCAAAAAGATGCAAAGTTGCAAATTTTAAAAGAACAACTTGGACTTATGGATGTCCTATTCTTAAAGGGATAAATGGGGACTAGTACTTCGCTATGTGCCCAATGGGGCATGTATTGGTAAAAAGCTGAACCCTGCCACATTTCAGCGACTAAAACCACCGAATTAGAGCTTCAATCAGTAAAACGATGTTTATTTGAACAAAATGAGGTTGAGAGCTCAAACATTTTCGTTAAATACATCAACCTCGACATGGCAAGTTACAAAGAACCAATAGAAACACTCCATTAAATGAGTTCAGGCTAGCTTCTAATATGAGACGTTTAAAACGGACTATTTGAAAAGCCGATACTCCTGTTCCAAACAATGATGTATCCATGTGAACTGTTGTTACATCTACTGTCGTAAAACTTAACGCGGTTGTTACTAATGAAAAAAAACTTGGATTGAATTGCTTCCAACTAGTCTTCTGCTTGGCTCACGTATGCTCCATTCTGAATAATGGTAGTATGATTAACAAGGGATGCAAAATATTAAACCAGTATCAAAGTGTTTTGCTATGTTGTTTTCTTCATTCCCCTTAAAAGGAGTATCCCATACGATGCATTTGGGACTTCCTGAGCTCAGGAGTCTGCAACAGTTCCTTTTGCTTTTCTTCTAAAAAGCCTTCGTTTGAGGGCAATAACCGTGCGGTAGATATTTACTGTAACTGGTCGCACACGACTTATGTTAATATCTGCACCACACAACTGGCTTTTCGGGTATCATCCAGTTATTTGGTTTAGAAAGACTAGGGCAAGTCTTTTGATCATCTTTCCTCAGCTCCGCAAATTAGAAATATTTTTAATTATAGAACAATTGCACCACTATCATGAAAACAATATCTCTTTGAACGATTTTTATTACGGATCCGAACGTGATTGCTTCGCGAAAGATCGACTGACAGACGATTCTTGTTTCTTGTCCACTGTTTTGAAAACGTGTGACAAAACGGATGTAATATCCCTTTGAATTCTCAGAGGTATCTCGCGTTTCTAGTCGCGAGGGATATCACCTGCAGCCGGACTGTTAGATCTGTTTGTCAGCGATCTATTCGCGGGCGATTTGACGCGGCTGCAATCGTGATTGTAAACGTTAACGTACAAGTACAAATAAGCTTCAGGTTTTACAACACCATTTAGGATGCATATTGGCAATTATTCTTTCAGAATGCCTCCATCGAAGCCTATTCATGTTACTTGACTGTGGATCAATCAGTGATCCAGGGAGTAACCTTCCTACCGCTTGCCAAGCGGCCTGAAAACATCATTAAGTTTGCACAGATAGTTTCAACATGGTTGCAACCAAAGCATTGCAAGCGATAGGTTCTTTCCTCTTCCGCATACAGACTTTCATCTCGAATTTATCCTAACCTCATAAGCTGTTTCAAAGCTGGGCGCGGGGAACATTTAGACACTTTTCAATTGCGGAAAGAATTCGGAGGATGCCTACCTTTCTCATTATAATCGTATTTTTACCAACAGATTCTAACTCCATTTGTATTTGTGGACAGAGCATTGCGCTTTATATAGTGCTACAAATTGCCGGTTGCCATGTCTGTTCAAATGACTCCTTGCTCCTCTAAAGTTTCACGTTTTTTTTGCTCTGCGAGACCTCAAATTGTCAAATGAGCTCTAATGAGGAAACACTTCAATCGGGAAACCTCAGATAGCCAAAAAATAGTGCCTTTTGAACCATAGCAATTTTTTAAGTCATTGCCGCAGAATTAGCGAATGTAATATCAATATTCGGTCACCTGGAACCGCGACGTTATTCTTGTTTGCTCTTTGATGCCCCTAATCCAACCGTATAAATGAATCAACAAGTAAGAATTCTGGTGGTTACTGGACAGGGTGTGTTGTCTTTCAGTTACTCCCAAATGGAAATTGCATAAGGCAACTGGCACGTTGTTTAAAGCCAAAAGTACAACGACAGAGTACATAAAATTCAAATGATGAAAGTGTCACATAGAAGTAAATGGTAAGCCATATAGCGATGAGTGAAAATTAAGAGTACTGTTCCACAGAAGCATATGAGAAATTTGCAGTTGGTTTTGAAAAAGAAATAGGTCAATGAGATGATAAAATATAACGTGTCACCCAAAGTTGCACATGAGTGGAACAGGCAATATTAAAGTAACCTTCAAAAAGATGCAAAGTTGCAAATTTTAAAAGAACAACTTGGACTTATGGATGTCCTATTCTTAAAGGGATAAATGGGGACTAGTACTTCGCTATGTGCCCAATGGGGCATGTATTGGTAAAAAGCTGAACCCTGCCACATTTCAGCGACTAAAACCACCGAATTAGAGCTTCAATCAGTAAAACGATGTTTATTTGAACAAAATGAGGTTGAGAGCTCAAACATTTTCGTTAAATACATCAACCTCGACATGGCAAGTTACAAAGAACCAATAGAAACACTCCATTAAATGAGTTCAGGCTAGCTTCTAATATGAGACGTTTAAAACGGACTATTTGAAAAGCCGATACTCCTGTTCCAAACAATGATGTATCCATGTGAACTGTTGTTACATCTACTAAAACAAAACTTAACGCGGTTGTTACTAATGAAAAAAAACTTGGATTGAATTGCTTCCAACTAGTCTTCTGCTTGGCTCAAGTATATTCTGAATAGAATAATGGTAGTATGATTAACAAGGGATGCAAAATATTAAACCAGTATCAAAGTGTTTTGCTATGTTGTTTTCTTCATTCCCCTTAAAAGGAGTATCCCATACGATGCATTTGGGACTTCCTGAGCTCAGGAGTCTGCAACAGTTCCTTTTGCTTTTCTTCTAAAAAGCCTTCGTTTGAGGGCACAACTTGTCATATTGCTATTAAGCTCAGGTTGCACGTTGGGGAGAATGGGGCAACTCATGTATCAAATCATCTTACAGGCAAGGGATCGACGCTTTGGATAAATATTGAGCTTCAGTGTACTAAGCTATGATAAAATCACTGAGTTTCGTTGGTGCATCATCCGAAATAAGAATAATCTACAGTGTTTCTCAGTTGACCACGGTCTGAACGTCAATAAAGAGTTTGGATATCCCATTACCCTCCATGGTTTAATCCGTTATGCTGTATTTTATACGGAATAATTAATAAGAAGATCTCCCACGCTGGGTATAGGGTACGCTAGGTACTATGATTTCCTTGGTCCCCTATAAACTTGCTCAAAATGGGTAGAAACGTCCTACGATTATATTCATTATCAACAGAGCCGTAATGAATAATGTTTGATACGTTACCCTTTTGTCAAGATCCTGGTTTAGTATTTAAGCCCCGGCCTCCAAATTTCAATTATTCAACAACCAATTGCTCCGATCTTAGCCATTTGTTCCGTTATACTCTACATTTTAGACACTAAGACCTTCCAAGGCCAAGCGGATAAAATACCTATGGGACGAACCGGTTGAACAGGCTGAAGATAGTCTTTCAATTTTTCAATTTTCAGGGCTATCCCAGAAGTTGCTCCAAAAATTTGTTTCAAACTTGTGAATCACTCCGAGACAGAAAAATTGCTCAAATGTACGAACCTCTTACCTGTGGCCTTTGGAATCAGTTCCTTCATCCCGTTATTAGGTGCCAGCATGGAATGCTCTTGAATATGATAATGAAGCACACAGTAACTCTATGATTACTAGTTCACTATTAATTTTCTTACGAATCATTCTTATCATCATCGTTGTCATCATAGACATAATTAAATTAGTAGTCGAGACTGATGTTTCAATGCCTACGTTAGGCATATCCGCTATAAATCGACACTTGCACTGCAAGATGCTCCCGGATGTAAACAGAGTGATGAAGCACAACATACGTTTGTCCGAAATTCAGTTAAATGGGAATGACACCACAATCACCTTCGGGTGCTCCCACAGACGAGTAGGTGTGTATATGCATACCCAGAATGCCACCAGAATGATTGGCCCCGAAAAGCTCGGAATAGCGGCCTCAAAGGCATGAATGAGGCACATTCTATCAGCTATCCATATTGCTGCAAGGCTAAATCCAATCGCTCGTGTACTCTGATGTCATGTACTTGCTTGTACGACGGAGCGCAACAACGGCACACCAAATCCGAGAATCCCATCAACCAAGGGGATCCTGGCATTCATAAAGGTAACGTCATTGTACTTCGATCATTTTATTACTCTTCAAATCACATTTAGTACGGAGCTATGTGTAAATTTTACCAATGAATTTTGACCAGTGGTCAAATAAGTTATCCGCATACCAAGCTGACATGATTTGTTCAAAATAGGATGTGAGCAGCTTATAAGCATCGGTTGGCCCGAAAAAATAACATTGCCATGTCAAGTATGGCCGGCGGAAATTTATCTACCAAACTTTCTGAAATACTATACTGTATTCATTTAAGGGCCACGAAAATAAATTAGGCAGTAATCAACTCAGCTATATCTTTATGATTGGTTACAAACATGAATGCCATCTACTTGCTCTTGTAAAATTTAACGTTTATTTGCTCTGCGAGATCTCAAATTGTCGAGTGAGATTAATGCACAATTATTTTAATCAGGTGACTTGAGATAATCCAAAAGTAGGGCCTCTTAGAACAAATTTAGACGGATTCACTCAAAAAATACGCCAACGATCAATTGATTCCATGTGTTTTTATTTTGACGGCGTCTGCGATCTTTTAACGCTCTTTAAGAAAGGGAGCCCCATAGATTTTGGACGTAAGAGTGTGGTTAGCAACACTGCGCAAATATAGAATTCTGGCGGTCAATGGACAGGATGTGTGGTTTTTAAGTCCATTCGGAAAAAAAAGTTACATAAGGCAACTGACACTCCGTTTAAAGTCAAAGATACAATGACAAACTCCATAAATTTTAAATAAAATTAGTTGATGGTGAGCCATATAACAATGGGGAAAATTTCTGAATAACGTTCCACAGAAGCATAAGATATATTCGCGGTTTTTTGCAAAAAGAAAAATTAATCAGACAATGAAATTAAAGATGCCACCCAGTGGTACACATGGGTAGAACAGGCAACATTAGGTTAACCGTGAAAAAGATGTAAAGTTGCACATTTTGAAATAAACGTAGACTGATGTATGGCTGATTCTAAGTGAACAATAATTGAGCTCATTTTCTGCTAATGCAAATCCCACCACTAGGGAACTGAGAGGATAATCTGCATGTTGTTGGCATAAATTCCTACCATGGCGACCTGTGTGATGTCTGAGTTGGGCACCCAGCTCTTGGACCAACAGGTCATTTGCAAATTGAATGCTAATGTGTTGCAAAAAGAAAAATTAATCAGACAATGAAATTAAAGATGCCACCCAGTGGTACACATGGGTAGAACAGGCAACATTAGGTTAACCGTGAAAAAGATGTAAAGTTGCACATTTTGAAATAAACGTAGACTGATGTATGGCTGATTCTAAGTGAACAATAATTGAGCTCATTTTCTGCTAATGCAAATCCCACCACTAGGGAACTGAGAGGATAATCTGCATGTTGTTGGCATAAATTCCTACCATGGCGACCTGTGTGATGTCTGAGTTGGGCACCCAGCTCTTGGACCAACAGGTCATTTGCAAATTGAATTGGTGCTAATGTGAACCTCAAACTAAACCCTCGTTAATGCTATTTACACAAGTTTGTGACAAACTCGGGAAAAAATGTATATTGTGAGCCTCAAGTAGAGCAAATGCCCGCTGTTATCTGTTGGATAACTTTTAGTAACGTTGTAAAATGTACTGCGAAAAAATGATGAAATTCCCTTCGTGGATTTATGAAATAGATTGATATCTTTCGCCCAGACTACAAAGTTTTGCAATCCAAATTTTTACACTATCAATTTGTGTTATTTTGCGCGCAAACCAAATCAGCCATCCGGCTGAATGAATATCATGCTGTTTCTCAGCGATATTTAGTAGAATTAAAAAGCTGAAAACTGTTTAATTTTCAAAAATTCCAAAGAGACTTTCCTTCGGCTCTAAAAGTTTTATGAAATAGGAGGGGCACGTAGTTTTGTCCGTTAGTCGTTTGGGAATCAGAAAATTGCATTTACCAATGATATCTTTAAGACAGTCCATAAGTATCGAAGTGAAAACTTCATAAGTTTTTCTGGAACGTACGCAATCACCTCAGGTGCCACCCGAATTGGTCAGTCAGTCAGCCAGTTTGCCCTGAGTCTGTTGACACATGTAAGGAAATACAGGACGGAGTGGTGCGTATGCAGATTTCTAACAGCTGGATGTTTCATAATCAGTGTTGTTATGATATCCAACCTTCAGTATGCAGGAAAACCAAAATGCACTTGCATTTTGAGTGGTGAGCGTTTAGTGAATGATTTTTCGGTACTAAATGTCTAGTGGCACAGTGTCCTACTACTACACTGGTGCGTTGTGTGGTTTGAAGGAAGGCAACTGCAGAGTCCTATGCTAGAAGTGGCAAATGCCAAATCAGCAACTAATACATGACAACAAATATGATTCCTTTGGCTAACTTTAGACAAACGGAGACGAACACAGTCGATGTTAACTTCAAATTAAGGAAATTACCCACTCTTTCGAACGAATGGACCTGTCAAGATCGAATAACTAACGTATTTCCTTGACAACTCTTCCAATATTTTATGAGACCGAAGATGCGATGCTTCACCCAGAATTTTACATTATATCAGTCTGTGCACACGTTATATTAGTTTGCGTATTCCCAACCTAACCTAGGTACGTTTGAGATGAGTGTATTGCTTGGTCCAACATGGAATGAACAATCGAATCCAAAAGTTCCAAAGGATTGTTTTGTAGACCTGTTTGTCTCACATTCATTTGCACAAGATTCGATGGACACAAAGCTGTAAGGAAACTGACACAAAGTTTTCCGTGCCAAGGATTGCAGCCGTACAATACCACATAAGCACAATCAGAGTCTCATAATTCTAGCGAAATAGAAGTGCACTGTTCACAGGAATTTTCTACAAAATCAGCCCGAAGAATACCTCAATGAATACCTCAGTACTACTAACATTTGAAAATGCAGGGCAATCGAGGCATTGTTTTATAATACTGGTGGTTGTCATTTTAAATGATGGTAACGATAACGGTAACACATTTTAAAAAAAACATCTTAATTTGCATCTCAGATTCAGTGTAAGTAACTTCTTTTCTTTATGAAGGAAAGTTCTCATAAGTTTGTTTAAAACTCTTCAACTGTCCATGACTGGGAGCAGCCTCCGAGACTCCCCTGTCTCACGTTTGTTCTACATGAAGCCGGAATGCGGGAAATTTGACATACAAACTCAGTTGCCGACCACTTTGATTTTTTCTAATGACTCTAGTTTCATCCAGTTGAGTCTCTCATTTTTGGTATTCTTTAGCATCTGTGTGCGAAAACAGACCAAAACCTACGTACGTGTGTTTCGCGCTTTTGCGTACTTCCCTAATCACCAGAGCCACCCTAGTTGGTTTCGAACATCATTTATGGAATACATTTTATCACGGGCGATTTTTGAATGCCAAAAATCTGACAAGCCGTCAGATTACAAACAGTCGGATATGCTTTCCCAACCTGAAAATTGAATAGATTGCTATTGCATAAGTTGTGAAGGGATTTACGTAACCACCGCCCCGAAATCCACACTTTCACAAATGTGGAGTAAACGATCAATCACTTTGAAATCTTTGAAGATTCACCTTCTGGAATCCGCTGAATGTCCCCTTTACGTCAC